TGTCCCTGAGGTCATTGCAGACTCTCCTCCGACGCTCTCGTCATCATCGGATCTGATACTGTAACCTGAGTTCGATCTTTCGATTGCCCTTCGAAAAGGTATGCGTCAAACACGAAATCCTTCTCCATATTATATTGATTTATGCTATCATCGTCTTTCCCCTTTGCAGTATACTTGTTTGTCTTCTTTGTCTTATTTTTCTATTCCTATCACTCCAAGTGAAGCATTATCTCACCCTGAGTGGAGGCAAGCAATGATTGATGAAATGTGTATTCTTCAAAGCAGTGGTACATGGGAACCGATTCCTCTACCCTCTGGGAAATCTTTAGTAGGTTGTCGTTGGCCTTATATAGTGAAAATTGGTCCAGATGGTAAGATTGATCGATTTAAAGCCCGCTTGAAAGCCAAATGATACACTCAGATTTTTGGGTTGGATTATAGTGATACATTCTCGCCTGTAGCCAAGATGACATCTGTTAGACTTCTTCTAGCCATTGCAGCCATTCGACATTGGCCTCTTCATCAACTTGACATCAAAAATGCATTTTTACATGGTGATCTTGAAGAGGAAGTATATATGGAGCAAGCACCCGAGTTTGTTGCTTAGGGGGAGTCATCAAATATGGTTTGTAGGCTACACATGTCTCTTTATGGTCTTAAGCAATCTCCGAGAGCTTGGTTTGGCAGATTCAGCATTGTAGTACAACAATTTGGTATGGTCCGTAGTGAAGCTGACCATTCAGTCTTTTATCGTCACTCAGCCCGAGGGTGTATTTATCTTATTGTGTATGTAGATGATATTGTCATAACTGGTAGTGATGAGCAGAAAATACTCCAGTTGAAACAACATCTTTCGAATTAATTTCAGACAAAAGATCTTGGTAAACTCTGATATTTCTTCGGTATTGAGGTAGCCCAATCTAAAGATGGTTTGGTGATTTCTCAATGGAAATATGCTATGGATATTTTGGAAGAAACATGTTTGTTGAACGCTAAACCAGCTGATACTCCTATGGATCCAAGTGTCAAACTACTACCCAATCAGGGGAAGCCTCTGTCAGACTCGGGAAGGTATAGGAGATTGGTTGGAAAGTTGAATTATCTCACAGTCACTCGTTCAGACATTTCTTTTGCAGTCAGTGTGGTAAGCCAGTTCTTAAATTCCCCTTGTCAGGAACACATGGATGCATTTATTCGAATTCTGAGATACATCAAATGTGCTCCAGGAAAAGGTTTAGTGTATAAAGTTAAATGACATACTCAGATAGTTGGATGCTCCGATGCTGATTGGGCAGGGTCACCAATTGATAGACGATCCACCTCTGGGTATTGTGTATTTGTTGGAAGAAACCTTATATCTTGGAAAAGTAAGAAACAAAATGTAGTTGCAAGATCAAGCGCCGAGGCAGAGTATAGGGCCATGGCAATGGCAACATGCGAACTCATTTGGTTAAAACAGTTGCTCAAAGAACTTCAAATTGAAGAAGCAAGACCAATGACACTTGTATGTGATAATCAAACTGCATTGCACATTGCTTCAAATCCAATCTTTCATGAGAGGACCAAACATATTGATATAGACTGTCACTTTGTCAGAGAGAAGGTTGAATCTGGCGACATCGTCACAAATTTTGTCAACTCTAATGATCAATTGTCAGATGTGTTTACAAAATCTCTGCGAAATCCCAGAACTAATTATATATGTGGCAAGCTTGGTGCATTTGACTTATATGCTCCAGCTTGAGGGGGAGTATTGATATTTGTAAATATATATATAGTGTTAAGAATATTTGTATGTAGAATAGTCCCACATTGATTATATCATGTAATTAGTTGTAATCTCTCTCTATATATATAATAAAGTCTAATTAGTGCTTTCAAAACACACGGTTTAACCTAATGTCTCTTAGTATCTTCTAATTCAACAGTATTAATTTTATATTTTATATATATTGAATTAAAGGAAATAAACAAATTGAAAGTTAATTATTTTGTCTGTCTATTTTAATCTTCGTAAACTATTATTGCAGGTGGAGATAAATCATGCTCGCGAGATTGATGAGATATTTGATGCAATAAGCTATAGCAAAGGTGCATCTGTTATTAGGATGCTGCAAAGCTATCTTGGTGCTGAAAGCTTTCAGGTTGGTACTTAGTCTCTTACCACTATCATAAAAAACTTTATTTTCAATGCCAAATTTTATGAGATGAGAATCAACAGTGAACTGCTCATATGGGGATGGTAAATTATTCTCGCATTGTTCCTTTTAGTTCTTTTAATGTTTTCTTACACATACCAAGAAAATCAATAAATTTTGTTCCTTTTCTACAAAAGCAGCATTTAGAAAGGAACGGGAGTATATCTATTCACAGCATAAGTAAAACATTGTTGCCAGATTTTAGATTTTTCACTTTGAATGGAGTGGGTTGACTAGGTAGGCTGCACAGAGTAGTCGGTAGGGCATATTTTATGTATTCAATGACTCACATGCAGATGTACCAGAATTTGCGTATAGTATTAAATTATGCCTAAACTAAATATGGCCAAGCCAAGTTATATATCACACTTTTTATGATTAAATTCCACACATTGCTTTTTTTTACGAAACCAGAGGTCACTAGCTTCATATATAAAGAAGCACGCTTGTTCAAATGCTAAGACTGAGGATCTATGGGCTGCACTTGAGGAAGGATCTGGTGAACCTGTGAATAATTTAATGACCACATGGACTAAGCAACAAGGATATCCTGTTGTATCTGTTAAAATCAATAATCAGAATTTGGAGTTTGATCAGGTACCGTTGCATCCAACCTTTTCATTAGTTTCCTTTTCGTGATTATTTTTAAAAGAGAAAACCCTTTATGTTTATTGTAAATTGGGAGCTTTGTATGTTTATTGGCAGTCACAATTCTTGTCAAGTGGTGCTCAAGGGGAAGGCCAATGGATTGTTCCAATAACGCTATGCTTTGGCTCATATGACGTCCGCAAAAATTTCCTCTTCCAAACAAAATCTGAAACGCGTGACATTAAAGAGTTACTCGGTTCCCTGATTGCCAAAGACAGCAAATCTTGGATTAAACTTAATGTGGAGCAGGCTGGTTTCTACAGGGTGAAATATGATGAGCTGCTTGCTGCTAAACTTAGATATGCAATCGAGAAAAAATTATTGTCTCCATCAGACCGGTTTGGTAAATTAAATAATCTTTTGACAATTTAGTTCCAATGGTAGAAGAGGAAAATACTGATAACTTGTGAGTTACTACTTTGACAGGAATTTTGGATGATACATTTGCACTTTGTATGGCTCGCAAAGAATCATTGACCTCCTTGCTTAACTTGGTGGCAGCTTATAGGGAGGAAGATGATTATACTGTCCTCTCTAATCTGATATCTGTAATGCTATCCTCCCAATATTACTCATTAATTACATAGGTTATTATTGGATCTAATTTCAATTATGTTGTTTTACAGATAATTCAAAAAGTTAAACGTATTGCAGCTGATGCAGTTCCTGACTTACTAGATTATTTCAAACAGTTTTCTATCAATGTTCTCCAATACTCTGCAGAGTAATTGAATTTTATTGTAGTTAATGATTGTTTAGGAATTAGAGTATTTCTGCTACAACATGCTTGTTTATATTGCTTTGCAGGAGGCTTGGTTGGGATCCTAAACCAGGAGAAACTCATGATGATGCATTGTTGAGAGGAGAAATTTTGACTTCCCTTGCTGAATTTGGACATGATCTGACACTGGATGAAGCAAGCAAGCGATTCCAGGCTTTCTTAGAAGACAGAAATACTCCGCTTCTTCCTCCTGATATAAGAAGGGTTCGCTGCAGCATCATTTTAAATTTTGAACGCGTGAAATCTTCTTATGTATTCTTCTTTTGATGACTTTTTTTTTAATGTTGGCAGACAGTTTATGTGGCTGTAATGAAACGGACAACCAAATCTAATCGGTCGAGTTTTGAATCACTTCTGGAAGTATACAGAGAAACTGACTTAAGTCAGGAGAAAACACGTATTTTGGGTAATGAAATACCTTCAGTGAGGGCATAACATGGAGTTTCTAGGTCTAGATACTAATATTTTCTATGCTTGTAGGCTCACTGTCTTCTTCATCTGATCCAGACCTAATTCTTGAAGTTCTTAACTTTATGTTATCTTCGGAGGTATCTAATTTTAAGATATTATTTGAACTCATAATACATAATCATGTTCAAAAGTTATCATATTATCATTATTAGTTAGGAGATTGATATGTGTTCATGAGTGTACAAGGTCCGAAGTCAAGATGCTGTTTTTGGACTCCGTGTCAATCGGGAAGGAAGAGATGTGGCTTGGTCATGGCTTAAGGTATAATCAACAAATCACAGTACTGCAGTAGTCATTTGGAGTGTGAAAAACGTTGAATAGAAACAAAGTGTTCTACATATTTTTGTTTAACTTTATCACTGTTAAATTCCTTTTAAGGTTTAGGGATTGCTCTTTGAAAAAGTTGATGGAGATTATGATGCTTGTTTTCTGTTAACTTCACTTCCTTTCCATATTCATGTCCTTACTGTTCTTTAATTTTATACAGGAAAATTGGGAACAAATCTCCAAAACGTATGGTTCTGGATTTTTATTAACTCACTTTGTCCGTGCAATTGTCTCACCGGTTTGTCTTCTGCCCTTTCTCTATGCTTTTTCCAATGTTTTTCTTGGCAAGCTTGACATCCCCTAATTCTGGTGTTGCATTATAGTAATAGAATGCTCAATAATAATTCCATTTCCATTTCTTTTTTGTTTTCTGTTGGTGCAGTTTGCTTCCCTCGAGAAGGCGAAGGAAGTTGAGGAATTCTTTGATAGCCATCCTATGCACGCCATCACGAGAACTTTAAAGCAGAGCCTCGAACGAGTTAATATAAATGCAAATTGGGTTCAGAGTGTTCAGAATGAAAAGGGTCTTGCTGATGTTATAAAGGAGTTGGCTTACAGGAAATACTAGGCCCTGTTTACCCTTGTTTGAGTATAGTTTCACATAATAATAATGATTGTAACCTTATTAGTTTCCTTTCTACATTATGTGATTTTCTGAGACATGCCGTGTCTTTCAAAGGCCTGGAAACTAAATAAGTAATAATAGTTGAATTTCTTCTGTTGAACATGATATTAGTCTGTTTAAGGTGGACCATTTTCTGAATAATGCATTTATAATAGCCGTGAGATTTATAGTAATCTAGCGAGAACAGTAATGATTGATAGTGCTTAGATTTCTTGTATTTCAATAAATGCTTGTTACTCTTCAAATTAAAGAGAATGACAAGGACATTCACAACACCCACTTTCACGTCTGCATTTATTTTGCGTTCCTATTTTGTCAAAGTTTCAGAATCATTATGCTAAAAATGCTATCAAATCCATAGCTCATTCACCAAAAATGTCCATGTCCTTAGATCAGCATTATCGTGGCCAAGAATGGTCCTACTAGTGTGTACTAATATCATCTGGATCTGCCAGTCATGCTTATGAAAATGAGATAAAATTCTAAGTGTTTCTTTGAACTTTTTCCCTTGTATGTTTCAGTCATTTATTTCTAGGAAGCAAAATAAGTCATATCTGTATTATGGGTATCTTTATTATTTGATGCAGCAATTAAGTAGCTGAGTTTATGACAACTCTTGGCAAGTCTGTTGAATTAATTATGTGAAATAAATGTTGTTGATTTTGTTTTGTTTTATGCATGAGAGTTCAGAAACTGAGGTAGAAGCAAAGAATAGTGGATGAAAAGAGGGGACAAGCATTTAGTAAGAAATTGGATATCAAAAGGTAGTATTAGTGGTAGTGTTAATTGGGTACTCTATTACATATTGATGTATGAATTGGAATTTTGTTGATATGTTATTTTCATTCAAGGGTTGAAGAATTTCGTATTGTTATTCACGGAGAATTCATGTGTTTAGTAGAATTTGACCAAATCCTTCAGCAGAGAATAGAAGAAATTATGAACCTGTATCAGCTGAATCAGATAGAATTTGAGTTAAGTTTGGAGGGTAAATGAAAGAATTTGAGTTTGATAAGGTTTTTCATCAAGAAACAACTCAAGGTTAGTATCAAATTCCATTTTGTTTTGTTACCTAATTTTAATTATTTGATTTTAGTACCAAATTTTACTCTCAAGTATTGTCTGAAGAACACAGAAAATGTTTTTGTTGAGGTGGAATCAATTCTAAGGTCCGCAATGGAAAGGCAGAATGTGTGCGATTTCACTTATGGTCAAACCGACATAAGCAAAACATTTACCATGGTCAGTGATGCAAAATTGTGTACATACTGTGTTAATCTACTAATTAATGTTACTGCTCAAAGTGTGCCCGTGTAGCAGCTAGCTATTAATATTTTCTGTGTGAATTTGGTGAATTATAATTTGATTTTGCTATATTTAGAAATTTTTAATCTTTGATATTAATTTGTGGTTATTGTGTTTGTAAAATTTTGCACGGGAACAATCTAAAGAATGTTGCACGGGAACAATCAACTCATATACTTGTGAACATGTAAAAGAAATTCATGGATCATTCAAAAAATCACATAAAGGGGGAACTTGAACTTGTGAGCATTTAATTAGACATCTTTAATCTAACCTGTTTCTGTTTCATGTAATTTTTGAAATAACAAATGCAACGGATGTGTTGTCAGTCTTTACATTACAGCTCCAACCCTTTTGAAGCCTTTTCCATGATGCAATGGATATGACTTTGAAAAGTGGCAGATAGTGGTAGATGTTAATGATTTTTGAAAAGCAGGTTTGTATATTTGTTAGCTGGTGATAACTATTGTGTCATTGTTGGATTTTTTTCAGTTCACGCTGGCATTTCGGTCCTATTTGTTTTTTCTTTCTTAAACTGTCTGATTTTCAGTCAACAATTTGTGGAAGCTTTCACGATTTGCTACTGCTTAAGAGTGACAGGGTCATTTTTCTTCAATTATGGAACTTATTATATTTTTATCACTTTAGTTTTGGCTGTCTACTAATGGCTTAACAGAGATACTGTTTTTTTGCAGAATCCTAAAAACAAGGGGGGGATTTTTTGGAATGAAAAGCGAAAGACCATTTTCGATGAGAAAGATAAAGTAGTGTTCACTGTTATTTTCCTTTTCATTAATATCACAATTATTCTCATTAATTATCATTCATGTTTTATATGGCTTCATTCCAATTTCATTCGAGTAAAAATCAATGTAATGGAATAGAGAGCACAAAAGTAAAACAATATTATAGGGACTTATAAATTATTTAGGGACTGAAATGTTAATATTAACTAGTAGATCATAATCGGGGAAATATTTAAAGTTAATTATATTTATAATAAATATATTTTATAACTTTAAAAATAAAATTACGTAAATAGGAAATAAATAAATTTATAGTAAATATATTTTATTACTTTAAAAACAATATTACATAAATAGGAAATAAATAAATTTATAGCAAATACATTTTATTACTTTAAAACCAAAATTAGTTGAATTTAAATGAAATAAATTGTGAAATATAACTGATTCAAAACAATTTGAATAAGTGTGAGAGTTAGAACAATCTATATAGCTAGCCATTGTCTTAGTCAATTGTTTGTGTAATTTTGAATTATCAATGTAACAAATTCATTCATCCGTGTTCTAAGATGGATCAATTCAAAGGAAAAAGCTCGTGTTCCCAAATTCGCTGTCCCAACACGTTATGACATTAGGCTTAAACCCGACCTCATTGAGTGCTGTTTCTCCGTTTCCGTTGCTGTCAATCTTGACATCATCACTGCTTACTTATTTCATCGTTCTCAATGCCGCCGAACTCACCGTCGGTAGATTCCTCCAAGGTACTCTCATTTCTCAACTCGTTTTTCTATTACCATTATTTTCTGATTTAGAATCGATGCATGTCTGTAGGTTTTCAAATCTTCAAAAGTTGAATTGTTTGAAAATGATGAAATTCTCGTACTGGAGTTTCCAGAAGAAATACCTATTGGATTGGGTGTATTGAATATTCAGTTTGATGGAATGAAGGTTTTTGCAGAAGGTAACTGTTTTTTTCTAAACTAGTATAAATAAGAGATTGGTTTTATAATTCAAAATTTATAAAATGAAAAGGTGGAAATTCAAATATAAAAAACATGATGTTACTTAGATCGTATAGTCTTCTTTGGAAGACTATGATAAGTCACTCATATGAGAAATTCTTTTTTTATCAACAATAGCGGGGGTTTTGGACTTATTTAGTGGAGGATAAAAATCCCGCTATTTCACAATTTTTTTTAATACTAATCATTAATATTTAGTGACGGTTTTGTTTACCGGGAGTTACAAACCTCGCTAAATTATTAAAAAGTGAAGAAAAAAACACAGCATTGACTTGCGTGAGAGACCTTTTATGGTCTAATTGTTGCCTGAGCCTACTTACATACATATAAAACATGTACATAACCATTTTTCATGTGATTCGTCGCATGTTGACGTTGATGTAATTCTTATTCTCTATATCCCATAGAGTTTGTTAGAAGTTATCTAAAATTTACAAAAATAATTAGTTTGGCAGTCAAACTTTGAATGTTTGTGAATAGTATAAACCAAGACAGTAAAAAAAATCGTATAAAATAATATATTAGTGACCAAGTTAATAAATATTAAATTTGGAATCTTTTGCTTCTAAAGATATAAATCTATTGAAATAAAGTCATCAGTGCGGATCCATACATTATATAACGTGGCTAAACATGAAAGAAATTATAAATAATATTATATTAAAAATAAGAAATAATATTGTTTAAAATAAGATATTTATAATGAAAATCACATTGGACCAGCTAGTTGAATCGAGAATTAAAATAATCATTAGCCTGATTTGATTGCTAGATCAGCGAAACTATTAAACCAGTGAGAACTACCCAAAACCGATCAATACTGATAGAAATAAATCAGCAAACCAAAGATTTTGGAAAATGGAAGAATTAAATGCTTATTTTTCTTCACAATTTTGTTCAAAAACTAAAATATCTTGTTATTAAAAAATAAAATATAACTAGAATATAAATAGATTTTGATAAAAATTTATTTGGAACAACTTTCCTTCTTTAGAATTAAATTTATTTTGTTATTTAGTTTATGTTGCATTTAGGTTTTATTCAAATTAATTTTGACTTATATTTTATACTATTTTGTTGTGTGTGGTGATTATGTTTGGAATTTGAATTTAATTAATAAATTTGTAAAATTATCATATCTTAAATTATAATATCAAGTTATCTAGTTCGACCTGTTTAATGGTTATACAGTTTTGTTATAAAAATTGATTTATTTAATTAAATTATACGATTTATTCAATTGAATTATCTAATTTAATTTATTATATTCATGTGGTTCAAATAATAATCTAATAGTTTGACCAATAAATCAATGATCCACCTTCATTAATTTAATGATCGGTCCGATTAAAACATATATATATATATATATATATATATATATATATATATATATATATATATATATATATATATATATATATATATATATATATATATATATATATATATATATATATATATATATATATATATATATATATATATATATATATATATATATATATATATATATATATATATATATATATATATATATATATATATATATATATATATATATATATATATATATATATATATATATATATATATATATATATATATATTATTTTTGGTGTGGCTACAATCACACTGTGCCTTAGAGTGAATTCGTCTATGAAAGTCATACAAATAGTGATAGTTCTTACCTTTATATCATCTTTGTGATTCAACCGATTTAATTTATTTACTTCTAAGTCAATCTTGTCAACCTTAAAAAAATTAAAAAAATAACTTTCAAATACTATTGAAGTATTTGTTAATGTAATAAAGTAAAAAATTAAAAAATTATGATGTAATTTAAGTGCTTATATATGAAAAGTATATGGAATATAATATACTTGATAGAATTTTGAGTAAGTACCGGTATGTAAAAAAGGAAGAGAAAATCACAAAGTAAAATTACAATAAAACACCTAGTTATAGAAGTAAGATTGGTTGATAATGGTTAATAGTGAGAGAATGAAATTGATATATTCGTCTACCCGTGCATAATAAATTTTATTAAATTATTATAAAAAAAAATATGTTATAGTTTGAATTTAATAAAAAAATAAAACATATATACTTCTAATATAATTAAAAAAAATGAAAAGTACTATTGAAGTATTTGTTAATGTAATAAAGTAAAAAATTAAAAAATTATGATGTAACTTAAGTGCTTATATATGAAAAGTATGGAATATAACATACTTGACAGAATTTTGAGTAAGTACCGGTATGTAAAAAAGAAAAAGAAAATCACAAAGTAAAATTACAATAAAACACCTAGTTATAGAAGTAAAATTGGTTGATAATGGTTAATAGTGAGAGAATGAAATTGATATATTTATTAGCCGTTTACCCGTGCATAATAAATTTTATTACATTATTATAAAAAAAAATGTTATAGTTTGAATTTAATAAAAAAATAAAACATATATGCTTCTAATATAATTAAAAAAATGAAAAGTATTTATAAACAAAAATTCATATACTAATCTATTTTTACAAATCAACTTCTTATATAAGTAACTAATAAAATTCAAAATTAAAGATAATAAAAATTATATAAATCATAATAAAATAATAAATAAATGAAAAGAAGACGTAAATAAGCAAAAAAAATAAATAAGGATAAAAAAGAATATATAATAAATTAAAATTAATAAACACAATAAAAATAAAATAACTTTAAAATTGGAATAACATAACTGTTGTGAAAATGATGTCAAGAAAAGAGTATAACAAGTTTCTTAATTGGTAGGAAAACTCACAAGAGTAAAAAAGAGGGAAGTAAGAACACAATGAATTGGTTATAAACTGTTATTCTTCACTTTCTCTTTAAAAAAAGATTACAAGTGTTATAAAATAACAAATAATCTCTCACGTCTTAATTAGGATTTGCCTTGTGCAATGATGAGAAACCAATATCTTATTTATAAGAAAACTAACATACTAAACCAATGAACTTTTACACACATACTCATTACAAGCTAACTTAGGGAACAAACTAACTTAAATAATTGAACATAATAAACAGACCCAATTCGATAATGCTAACAAACCTAGCAAATATCAACTAATCATGTTAGAACAACTTTGACTATAACACGCACTATTTTGGCAGAAGCATGCGAGCAAGCTTTGACCTCATGCTTAATTCTTGTCGGACCAGAAGCCACCCCTTCGACCATACTAGAGTACTGTAAGAACAAAATTGGTTCTGCATCTGGCCTTGAGTTTTGATGATAACTTTACATGGTATCTTAGAGAACAATTGTGTATTATAATGGTTTTTATCTAGTGTGTAGCTTTTGCTAAACACTCTAGAAGAATACCTATGGTGTGTTACAAAGTTAAGTCAAGATTTTGGAATGCTTCTTCTGCAACGGTTCTAAGGAACGTTAGTACAAGATTTTCTCATCGTGACTTTACAAGGAAGCTTTGGATGTCTTATAAAGCTTTACTTATGTTGTCCCAAATTTTGAAGATGCTGAAGACAAGGTTCTGCTGAACAAGTTTTGAAGATCTAAAGACATTACTTCTGAAGACCAAGTGTTGAAGACTCTGAAGACAAGGTTCTACTGAACAAGTTCTGAAGACTCCAAAGACTTAGATTATGAAGATTTAAGTTATGATCCTTCTACAACATGCTTCATCAATATACATCAGAAGCCTCTGAAGAAATAGAAGATAAAGATCAAAATTAGTTTGCGTGAGATGGTGAGTATAAAAGTACAAAGTACACTGTGACCATTACTCTACTAGGGTGGTGTAAGGACAATTCTTTTGTACTATGTTGTCTACCATTCCCACCATAACCATTGGAGACAAAATAACTGGTTTTATGTTTCCTATTCTACCCTCCAACACATATCTCTTTTTCAACTATAAAAGGAGGACTTGGAAGAATGGAAAGGTAACACTTTTTGTTCTACAAAACTACGCTAAAGCGCTGCATAACTCTTTTGAGATATTCTTTGTATAGTTTTGTAAATTAGCAAGGAGCTTTTGTTTATATCTTGCTATCAACACTTTTGTGTTGTTGTACTTAAACTTTGTGTAATCTTCTTGTTGGAAGCATCTTTGTATACACATCTTTGTAATCATGGTTGTTGATAGGTTCCTTGAGAGACTAGGTGTAGTCAGGATTCTCAAGAAGAATTTGGTTACTGTCATTGTGGATTGGTAGTAAGGATCGATGGACTTGTTGTGGTTGTCAACAAGGTTGATCAGACTTATTGTGGTAGTTTTCAATTAGTGGATTATAGTGGATTAAGTTCTCATGGATAAGGTAAATCACCTTGTGGGGTGGACTGGAGTAACTTAGTTAACAATGAACCATGATAAAAGTAATTATGTTTCTTTGTTTGTATTCACTTGTTAGCTATTGTGTTTTGTTATTTCTCTGAAATTATGATTGACATGAATTTTGATAAAACTAACTTTGCAGCAACATGTTGAACAAGATGTTTCAAGTTGCAGATTCAACATGTTGAGTGTGATGTCCTAACCAGAAGAGCAGGACATCTGAACTGTTACCATTTTACAAGTTATTTCAACTTGTTGTTTGAACAAGTTGA